TCTTTCCCTTTTCCCATCTTTCTTAATCTCCCTCCATCTCCCTCAATGTCTCTGACTCAGTGGTTTGATACCAGGATTCCTAAAAGATTACATAATGGTCTAGAAGAGGAGAATGAATGGCAAATAACCCATCAGAGTTAATTCATTTGTGCAGAAGATGATTTACTGTGAGCCATGGAATTGCTGAACTGGGATCCACCAGCATCACAGAACTATTACTTTCACTTTCAAAGTCTGGACGCAATTCTTTAAACTCATCTTGGATAGCAAAAATGGCTATGTAAGAATAGCATAGGTATAAAACTTTAAAACATTCTTTTACTTTCTTCACTACTCTTCTAGAGTAGAAGAACAAATTATAAAATATGAATCCTGTTTTATGAATTTATAAAAGGCACTTAGTGATAAACTTGTTTTACAAAATGGGGGGTAGTATAGGAAAGTATATATAAAGTAGTATAGGAAGAAAAAAGAAAAATCAATCTTAAACTTTCCAAACTTGGCTTCTGATTTTTTTTTTTTTGGAAGGCTTTGAGTGCTTACTGTCTCTTTTGGCTGTGATCACTTGTACATTTCCTAGTAAGAGCTTTGTGATTTAGCAGTGTCTTCAGGCATGAAAAGGATGGTACAAAGTTGCTTCAGAAAGCATTTTACCATGTCATAGAAGTCAGTAAGACAATTTTTTATCATTTAATAGTCAGTATGTTTTATTTTCAAAGCAGAAGTTAGGGTTAAGTACAACATGAACCACCTTCTTTCTTCCTCTTACTTAAAGCAATCTTTAAAGACCAAATTCATAGTCTTTGTTACGTATTTCATCATAGCTGCTTATAAGTAGCTTTGTATCACCTTGGTCTTTAGAGCAGCATTTAAATACCTAGAACAGAATGAAAACAAATGCAAAAGTCTGTATTTATTCTACTAACATACTTGGAATTGAATGTTAAGAGAGAGAAATATTTCCTTCCTATGTCTTAAAACCAGAGGATACAGTGAATCAGAACAGCATAAGCAGCTGCTTGTGTCCTCACAGTAAGTGCATGCCAATATCAGTAGAAGAAAAAAGTTTTAACTTTGTAGAGTGGATTGGCACACCCATTCTACTGCTAATTCTTGTTACTTCATGCCATTGTAAAAGTGAAAGACTGTGTGGGTGGGGAAGAGTTTGTTTTTTCTTTAGAGTCCTATCTTAAAGCTTCCTGTTTTGTGGGTGACAACATTATGTATGGTAAGTTTCTCAAAAACATGTCTTAAAAAGAAACTTGTTAAAGTGTTCAATTATATTTGTCCTAATGGTTGTTCTCTTCTCATTTTAACATCCTTTGCAAAGATTGTAAGGTAGAATAATTAATCCCCTTTGAACAAATATCTGTAAGACATCTAAGGGAGCTGTAAATGAACATAGAACAAAACAACTTTGGAAAAATAATTAAGATAAGCCTGCTTGTGTTGGAAACAAAAGGGATGTTAAACAAAACCTTAGAAAACCAGCATCAAGTTTTTAGGTGTTTGGATATTGAGTATTTTTTTTTACATTTCACTTATTTATTGGTAGAAAAACACGTGACATGGTTCAGTGGACTACAACAAATTATGTTGTTCCCTTCTTAAGCAGTCAGACAGAAAACCTACTTCCTCCTTAGTAATATATCTGTTTACTGATGTTGATGTTCCATAGTGTAGAAGTTATGTATATTTAATTTTTGCAAACTATGAAAAAATGTCAACAAACAGCTACCCAGCCTTTGTAGTCAACGCCTCATTTAGGGGAGGACGAGGAGTGGTGGCATAGGTTGGTTGTTTTGGAGTGGGGTTTTTTGAACCTTAATCTACTATAAATTCTCATTGTCCTAAACTAGCAGCTGAGGATTTCCATGGTGCAGGAGCTCTTCAGTAGTGTAAATGAACATTGGCTATTAAAATCTTTTATTCTATTCTGTTCCAAATTTTATTGCAATTTTTTAATTTCAAGAATGACTTGATTAATGGACGCAGGTCTTGTTTTCATCTTTGCTTTTCAGTTTAACGTGTTTAATGGGGGGCGGGCGTTAGAGTGTTTTTTGTGCCACAGCTATAGATTTACGATGAAGTTGAATTACACTGCAGTTCTAGGAAGATCAGGTACTATACAAGAGGATATGGGGTCTTACTGACAATTGCCATCTAAATACTATAGCAGCTTTTTCTATTGACTCACTTTTTTTGTGGTCTGCAGCAGTCGAAGAATCTGCCTACAAAACAGGAGATTCTAGTCTTGCCTAATTAAACAGTTGAATAGGTATTGAAGAAGCTATGGCAGTATGAATGAATCTTCTAGAATTGTTTGTAATCTACTCTTGTCATTGGATAGCATTCTTGGTTGATAAAGAAATTCTTGGAAAAAAAATAGGAAGAAAGTGGTGATAGTTCTCTCTGCAAAAGTCATCTTTTTAACCCTTCCTTATTGTGATAAAATAATACAAAAAACTGAAGTAGGAAGAGAATGGTAAAGTAAATTGACAAATGAAGAATATTAAGAACAAAAGAAATAGTTCTGGGGATGTGGCGGATAGAACAAAGTAATATACAGACTGGTCTGTCTGGCTGTATCTAGGATACAGAATGCTGGTAAATCTATGAGTATATTCAGAGAAATATTATGAAGAAACCAGAGGGCTTTTTCTTTCATTTTTGGCAGATGATCACTGTGAATGCTTCATTGTTCCCCAGTTCTATTACTAATTCTTTGATAGCAGTTGGAAGCGATGGTCTTCAAGAAAGAGACAGAATGGTTCGAGCGTGTATAGCCATTATCTGTGAACTAGGTAAGATAACTGAACGCTAATCAAGAAAAATTTTGACATGGTTGTCATCAGTTTTCTAAGATTCTCTTCTGTGCATTTGTATTAAATAGATTGCATTTAAATAATTAAGGATATTTGTTTAATAATGAATTAGATGTTAAATGTTCTTAATGTCAGTTTCATGGATTTTAGTCACTAGTTTGATATAATACTAAATCACTTCAATTTGAAGTCAAAATCTCTTAAGTATCTGAACATCTTAGGTGCTGTTCTTTCCTTTAAGACTTGCTAATTTTTAATTTAACTTTTAAAAAGTTTTCCTCCTGCAGTTGATGTTTTTAAAACTAATGGATTGGAAGTAGGGAGAATTCCATATATGAGATGCTGACAAATGTACAAGAATTTGGAGAATTACAAAACGCCTTCCTTGAAAAATTTTTACAGTGGGTACTGTGGTTAGCTGGCTTCTGGAAGTCAGTATTTGTGTCCATGTAAAGACTATCTGGACAGTGGTTTATACTAACTCCCCATACTTGTATGTGGGTGCTGTTTTTTAAATTTTTTTAAAAGATCAATCAATGAGAAATAACTTCAGCAGTGTTTTAAAGTTTCAGATTTCTGTTGTAAAGAAACAAACCACCTGTTACTCTTTTATATTCTAGTGTAAATATTTTATCCATTTCAGTCTAGAGAAGCACAAAACCTTTTGCGGGAAAATCCAGAAACTACTGTAAATTATTTCCAACTACTTGTTGGAAATAAGTTAGGAAATTGCTGCACAGTGGTGACTGACTGACCAGTATTTTTGTTCATGATAAATTAATCCAAAATCTCAATTCATTCCTCATGTCAGTCAGTTCCATTAAAAGCTTTCATGTGCCTCAGCAGTGTTTAGGAAGAAAGATACATGTACTAAGGAGACAACATGTTTGTCATATTGGAAGCCATGAAATGTTCTTTCCTATCACTGGCCAAAGTGACGTGTTTTTCTTTGTTTAGCCCTTCAGAATCCTGAGGTGGTGGCTCTTCGGGGTGGTTTAAGTACCATCTTGAAAAATGTGATTGATTGTCAGCTAAGCCGAATAAATGAGGCTTTGATAACGACAGTTTTGCACCTCATTAATCATCCCAAGACCCGACAGTATGTGCGAGCAGATGTAGAATTAGAGGTGGGTTCAGTTTTACTTGTTTAGTGACAAACATTTTCGTTGCAATAGAATATTTAATTTCTAATTTTCATCTCAGATATCACCCTCTGTGTTAGTGCAAAATGTTTAATACAACATTTTAGGCTAAGAGCATAATGATTTATAAAGCAGGAATAACATGACAGATTGGAGTGGGACTGAAGAAGGGGCAAGACCCATTTAACTGTATTATCACGTGAAAGTAATTCATGTCTTTCTTTTGTTTAGCGAATTTTGGCTCCTTACACAGATTTTCACTACAGGCATAATCCAGACACAGCAGAAGGACAACTCAAGTAAGTGTTAGTTCTGCTACTTGCGCTACCAGTTGTGTTCATAGTATTGGAATTAAACTGTTTCTCTTTCCAAAGTGAAAATAAAAGCAGTGAGCTTATACTAAACTACTTGAAGTTGAATACAGTAGATTAGAATGCAACTTCCTAAAATACTGTAAGCATTTAAGATTTAAAAGAGCTTGTTAAGCTTGGAGAAGAGAAGGTTGGTGGACACCCCCATGCCCTGAATAGCAGCCTTTCTAATACTTGTGAAGATATTATCCAGAAGGCATAGCTAGGGCCCTTCATGGTGACTGGTGGGGAGGAGAAGAAGCAACAGAGAGAAACTGAAACAAGTAGTTTTTGTGAGGCCAGTCAAGTTTTGGACTAGGCTGTGCGGAAAGGTCCTGCAGCCTTCATCCTTGGAATTTCAAGACCCAGCTGGATAAAGCCTTAAGTATAACCTGGTCTGGCCTCATAGCTAACAACTTCTTTGTACAGGAGTTCAGACTAGAGACCTTGTGAGATTGCTTCCAACTTGAATTACTCAGTTTTTTAAAATTCTAAAATGGCATTAGGTGCTTAGTTCTGGGTAACTGAATAAGGTCCAAATCTTTGGGTCCCTGCTGTAGACTCATTGTCAGTGGAGGTGCAGAGGTGCAAACATACAGACGTTTACTTTGTGATGTCCTTGTACCATGGAAACTCCCCTGAAAAAGGAAAAATAACAATAATTAAAAATCCTAATCTTTGTGTGTGTGTCTACACATTGCATAAACTCATATTCACACACATATATGCATACATACTCTGGATTTTGTACCCCATCTCAAATCTCAGTTAACTACTTTTTACTTGGTATGTTAGTAGCACTGTTTGTTGTATAGTAATTTACTGTCTTGTGACATATTGTGACCCGGGCTTGTTGCAGGTGGGTTGGACTAGATGACCTTTAAAGGTCATTTCCAACCCAATCTATTCTATGATTCTATGATTTGTTTTTTTTGATGACAGGGAGGACAGAGAAGCACGGTTCCTAGCTAGTAAAATGGGAATAGTGGCAGCATTTCGATCGTGGGCAGGTAAGATTTTTTTGGTTTTTTGTTTGTTTGAAGTTGGATGATTGGAAGGGGAATTTTACTTTCTAGTGTGAGAAAGTGGTTTATTTAAATACAGAGTAAGTCATTTGATGCATCTAATTTCTATGAATTTCTGTCTTCCTACAATGGCACTAAGGTATGTTTTGATACTGCTAAATTGGAGGCCACATACATAGTTTTCTTTGACTGACTATACTGACAGGACACACCTTGCCCTTGCACCTTCTATCCCATACAGAATACCTTCATAAGTTGTATCATGATGGTACTTCTTGACATTTGGTGGGTGAGAGGATGTCAAAAATAATATTGTATCATAAGAATTTGCCTTTGAGATGGTTCTGCCACTGTAAACAAGAGATCTTTTGTCTCTGTGAGATACCAACGGAATAGTTCCATTAGCACCTGCTTTTAGCAGGTGCTATAGCTGAAGAGAAATTGCAGATGGACATAGTGTTGGATTTTTCATGTAGAAGACATTTCTAAATCGAAAAGCAGATTTTTGCATTTTAAAAAATATTTTCTTGGCAATATTACAATATCTAACGTGAAGATACTGCTTCAGGGACTGCTCATTCTAGTAGTCAAGACAGTGTTTTGCAAATAAACTATATCAGTTGATAATACCATTTACCAAAATTTTTGGTAGGATTTTTACAGACTATACTTAAGAAAGATTCAGACTTTATAGAAAGGCTTGTTCGTTGTAAGACTAGTTGCTTTATTTTTGAATGTTCTGAAAACGAGCAGTAGGCTTAATTTAATATCCAGGTATCCTTCAAAAGTTTCTCATATGTGTTCTCACTAGTCTGTGGAGGAAGCTTGGCAAGTTTGTGACAACTTTGAAACTCCTAGGAAGCAATTTCTGATAGGAATGTTGCTGCATCTTCCTGAACTTGGAGGCGTAGAACTAATAGCATATGCCTGAAAGGTCAAGTGACTGAAGATACAATTATCTTCAATGTTACTTCTCATGGCATATTCTGGTACATGTTCTTCCTTTCTAGTATTACTTGTTAAGTCTCCAACTTAACATCTTAAAAGCTTTCAGTACAGAAATGTCCTTAGAGTGTCAGTCTTCCCAAAGGACATGGAGCTAAACCAGGCTTGGTTTTGGTTTGGCTTTTTTTTTTGGTTTGGGGTTTTTGTTTGTTGTTTTTTTTTTTCCTGTCTGTACTATCTACTATGTTCTACTATTCTGCTCTCCCTATGTTCCAGACTGTGTTATTCTTCAGAGCTGGTGGTTACTATGTCCTTTATCTGTAAGTGCAAGTCATGTTCTTAAAGATAAAATTGGGGCATCCAGCAATGACTGCATGCACCCAAATCTATTCCTGCATTGCAATTGGGATATGGCCACTATATGCTCTTGCCAAAAATAGTCCTCTGAGGTGCACTGTGGAACATATTTAAATGCCTTTAGTGTGTCTGTGGCCACACGTGCTTCTCTTTGTGACACGGAAGTTTTGAAATTGAGGACTTCCTCAAAGTTCGAATAAGAACATGTCATTTAAATTTAAAGTTTGTGTCATGTCAAGTTAAATTTGTATTAGTAAAAATAAGTAGATGAGTAGGTGACTTTTTTTAATCTTTTGGTAATTTCTAAAGAATGAAGGCTTGGGTTTATTTATAATACGTAAGAGAAAAAGGTGTGTAAACCTGGATTCTTTTTGTTACTTAAAGTTGCATTTTGGAGAAACTTGTTTTCTGTTTAGCACATTTCTGTAAGTTTTATTTTATTCTGTGAAGTATGAAGAGAAATGGTCAAGGAAATGTCAGTGTCTTTGCAGCCACATTTTTCATGAAGAGACTGTATATAAATTGAGGCTGAAAATCATTGTAAGCTTCACGTGGTATTCTGTAATTAGAAACAATTTGAAGGCTTTCCCTATTAATATTGAAATATTAAACTGAGTAAAAATACAGTGTAAGAGGAGCAAATTCTGAGATTTTATGCAAATTTAAACCTGCTGTGTTAAAACTTCAGGAGATGAGCAGTGGTCATTTGGGAAAAGATGGTTTAAAAAGGTGCACAGAGAATGTTATTCCACATCTGTTTAAACTTGCTGTTTAGAATTCACCTGAGATTAAAAACTGAATAATTTGTTAGGTTAAAATACAGCTTTTGATGGAGAAACTGCTCACAGTTGTGCCAAGATGATGCAAATCTTTCAGGTTTCGTTTGCATTCTTTATTGACAGTTTTGTCTTCTCTATCTGCCACTTATTCCGTGTAAATGTTGTTTTTGCAGATAATTTGAAAGTATTGTTCACAGTAGGAGGGGCAAAAGTAGCTACAGTTTTTAATGAGGAAGCAAAGTTTTGTGATTGGAAAGTTTTGCTAAATATTACTGATCGGAAAGGAGATGAGATTATAAAACTGAAAATTATTACTAATTTTTATCATCTGTGCTTGCACTCAAACTGGAAATCAAATTTAATAATATGTCTAATGCTTTTTTGTTTGGTGAGGGAATATTATTATGTATTTAATGTTTTCTAGGTATTATTAGCCTGTGCAAACCTGGAAATTCTGGGATTCAGTCTCTTATTGGGGTACTCTGTATACCAAATATGGAAATACGGGTAGGTGGTGAATAATTAGTACTGATGTAGGAGTAATATTGATGTGTTAGTTAATACATTCTTAGCATTTTAACAATTTAGTAGTTTAAACACACTCGTTACAAGACCACTACCGTAGAGTTTTTGACCCTCAAGTTCAAGTCTGTATTTCCATTGTGCCTTGTATGCCTGAGAGGAGGGAATGAAAGAGAGAAAAGTATGTAAATTTGTTTTTTTACTCTGTACACAAATCAAAGTAAGTTTGCAGTAGCTGCATTTACAAGTTTAAAGCATAATAATCAGAGCTGAATCTAAGATAAATATGTTCCTTCCCAATTACCTGTTAAAGCAGGAAGTTGATGGTGGCAGCAGTAACTGTTCTAAAAATCTGTAATCCAAGTAGTCTGAGCTTCTGTGGATGTCATAGTGACAATAAAACACTGCTCTAAAGTAAACAAGCCCATTCCCATCTTCTCCGTATTATTTCAGTTTATGAAAATAAACATGTTATCAAAAAAGGAAACATTGAAACAAAGACAACAATTTTAGCACTCTACAGAAATATCAACTTCAATATTAATAGTGAACAAAAGGACAATTTTTCTAAATCTGTAAAATTAATGTTGTGATGTTTTGGGTTGGTTTTTTTGTAGCGAGGTCTGCTTGAAGTTCTCTATGATATATTTCGCCTTCCTCTCCCTGTCATTGCAGAAGAATTTATTGAGGCACTTCTCAGTGTAGGTAGGTATTAAGAACCAGTTCATATAAGAATTCTGTCTATTAAGCTCTTCTACAAATTTGAGGCCTTCATTGTTTGTTCTGTATTGTAAATTACACTAACTGTTTCATCACTGAACTCGTTAGGTGCTCTGAAGTCCTTTTTAAAATCCATTGTCTTTTAGTGTTGTAAGTTTGATAAAAGAGGAGCAATGGAGCATTTACAGAAAAAACTGTGTAAACTCAATACTACAAATTAGACTTCTTTTAAGTGTGAGAAGCATATTGGTAATCTAGAAGTGTTGGTGAATGTTCCAGTAAAGTTAATAAAAAGAGTCTTTTCTATATACTGTCTATCTGCTGTCTATCTCTACTGCATTTTAGCAGACTTTTACTTTTCCTCGAGCAAGTGTATGATTTTTCATGTCTTTCTATTTAGCAGAGTTAATATTTATCTTTAGAATTATTCCTTTGTAAACCCAAGAGTATCCTCTGCTTTGTCTCACAATGAAAAAGTATGAGCCAAAAGGAGCAAGTTTCAGCCTTCATTGTTCCAGCGATTCTCTTCTCTAAGCTCTGTTTATAAATGTTGATTTATATCATGCAGTTGATTATAAAAGCTTAATCCTTATTCCACATTTATAAGCAAATAAGTCATTCTTTGTTGCAAACCTGCTACTTTGTGATACTGATGTACATTTTAAAATTTTAGGTATTATGTTTTCCATTAAACAAGATTAATGTGTTTATTAGTTGGAGATGTTATTATTTTGGTTGATACCTAGATACAATCTTTATCCTAATCTTAAAGTTAGCCTTGCTTTGTTCAGGAGTGTGGATTAGATAACTTGTTAAAGATCCATTCTGACAAAATTTTCTATGATTTGAAACCTGAAATAACATTTGTTTGCAAGAACTATTACTTACCCACTGACAACCATTAAAATAGCACTATTAAATCCAGTGTTATAATCACCATTGTCCATATTTTCTTGTTCTAGATCCAAGCAGATTTCAGGATTGCTGGAGACTTTCTGATGGCTTTGTAGCTGCTGAAGCTAAAACTATATTACCCCATCGAGCCAGGTCAAGGTGAGTCTTTAATGAACTAAACCCTTGGCTTTTGTATTCTGTTGTTCACAAAATATTTGTTGTTTTCTTGCAGACACAATGAGAAATGAATTTTGTAAACTGTTTCAATACTTTGTTCTCTTTAGGCCTGATCTCATGGATAATTACTTGGCTTTAGTGCTTTCAGCTTTTATTACCAATGGACTTCTAGAGGTAACTAATGACTTTAAACTTGAACAGATGCTTGTTACTTTTTCCCTATATACATTAAAATAAGATGTTATACATTTAATGTTGTAATAATTTTTTAAATTTTTGAAGGGTCTGGTTGAAGTGATCACAAGTAGTGATGACCATGTATCTGTTAGAGCAACTATTCTTTTAGGAGAACTTTTACACATGGTAAGTAAAACCTTTTGCTGAGAATAAGTAGTATTAATAGCTAGTTGTAAATAGATATTTCATAGCTTTTAATTTATGTTGCAAACTTGGAGTGTCTAATTTTCATCAGAATAATGGGTTAATTCGCATTACATGTTTTGGCATTTTGCATTAAAAACAGTATGTATCAATAGGAAGGCTGTTCGGAATGTATTGGAAGTGCTGGGGCTTCTGCTTCAAGGATCATCCTCAGCACTCAAACTCTCACCAACATACTTCCTTGCCTCAGCAGCCAGTTGTATTTTTAAGCTCAAGTCCTGCAAACTCACCCATCAGTTACTGTGATTGTGAAAAGGACTATTGCTAATTATTGCTTTTTTAGGATGATTGTAGCCCTCTGGCAGTGTGTTTAGCTTTCTGCTTCACAGGCTAGGCAGGTTAAACTTTTTTTTTTTCATGTTCAGCTTGATATGGCCAGGGCACTTGATATCATTCATTCAGGCAACTCCAGTTCAGTGGAGTGCTCTTTCAACACTGCTATGGGTAGCCCCTGCTACAGAGAAGCTGAAGGGACCTTGCTTCATTCAACTTCCCTCCACCTGACATATCTTCTACAGTAGCTCCTCTTTCATAACCTAAACTATTTTCGTATAGAGATGATATTATTGTTTTCATAATATACTCCAGTGCTCCCTTTCAGCCTCCTGAGGAGCTGTTAGTCATATGTGAAGTGATATGATTTACCTTTCGTGTAAAACAGTTCTGTTATTTTTCACATCCTTTCTTGATGGCAAAAATAGCATATGGAGCAGAGCATTTTTGGACCAGTTTTCTTGTGGTTTTTTAATCTTTTTTCCAAGATGGTAAGATTGTGAACTACAACTTGTCTTAGAAAAATATGAATATGAGTTATCAGACATTGTCTACATCTTCAGACTATCGACTCATTTCAGTGGTGCTTAATGCTCCAAAAAACAAGATTACAATCCAGATACAGGATTGCTTATTACTGCAGCGACTTACAACATCTCATCAGCATGGGTCACAACCACAACAAATATGTCCTTTAGTCTCTTCTGTGACTTTTTTCTTCAAACAGCTGGTGGAATTTCTTGAGTATTCAGTCAGCCATGTACTTTTAAAAAGAGGAATCTGTAATAATGTATGCTATTTTTCTGGTTTCTGGAATACTTTTGAATGGGAGTGACTGTTACTGACATTTGAGTATGCTGCAAAGCATAGGTATTTTTTGTTTTCTGAGGAGATGATTCATTAGTCAGAGATGACTTTATCAAAATGCTGAATAAATATTTGTGCTTTAATTTCATTTTAATAGAGCGAAGTAGTTTCTTTATCTTCATTATTCTTTAGTTTTCCAAAAATACTTGCAAAACTATCTGTGTTTTCCAAAATCAAGGCAATTAAATGTCTAGTGACTGAGAGAGTTATGTTAGTTCATCAGCTTTTGGGGGGCGATGGACGGAAACATGGGTGGTCAAAAGTTTTTAACGGAAATAATCAGCTTAAATTGTATTTCTGATTTTGGATTGTTTTAGTACTTTTCTGCACGTGGCATAATGATATCTGACACTTTGCATGTTTTTGCGTGTTACCACTTAAAAAGCCACCAATGTGAACAATACAGACTAGAAGGCTCTGAAATCTAGAATCATCTTAAGTTACTTTAAGTTGTATTTCAGATTGATTGGTTAGATCAAATATTCAAAACAGTATGTGTAATTATTGTTCTGATTTTATGCAAAAGGTAGTCTTCATCTCATGCATTTGTGAAAGTCTTGTGAAAAGCGGTAGATTCTTCAAATGTTGTAATAAGTTATTCTAACTGGTCTTTTGTTCTTTCCTTAGGCAAACACAATTCTTCCTCATTCTCACAGCCATCACTTGCACTGCTTACCAACGCTGATGAATATGGCAGCATCTTTTGACATCATGAAAGAGAAAAGACTGTAAGAATTTTAAGTCACACCTAAAAGCAAAAATATTTACATCTCCTTTTTTCCCTTACAGTTGAGTGAAAACCTACAAGTTTCCTGGTGGATGAAACCACTGCTGTCTTTAAAAGCAAGTGAATGCATGCATACAGAAATGCTCTGTCACACTTACTAGGGAAATAGTGCATTTTTCCAAAAGTGTGTACAGTAACAATTTAGAAATTCAGAAGGAAAGTTCTGATAGTCGATTTCAGAACATTTTTGCATAGAATGCAAGATTTTTACACAGAATTTTTCTTAAATGAACTGTGAGGCTCTGTTTGACCAAGCAATATCCAAGACCTGTTCTGTGTGTTTGACCTCTCCATTGTTTCACACTTCTTTTTTGGCATTTTGATACAATTAAGCTTTCAAAACTAAAAAGGCCTGTACCAATTTTATTCTTCTGTTATTGTTTATCTATAGCTAACGAAATAGTAATAGAGCAAATCAGTGAGTCATTATCAGCGTGAGGAAGAGCAGAAAATGTGATATTGTTATGGAACTGGTTTATGGTTTGGGTTTTTTAAACCTTTTTTCTCACAAGAAAATGGTTGTTGTAACACTAGTAATTATATTAAAAATTTCTGGTACTTCTGTTCGAAGTCGGCACTGATATTTTTTCAGTTTCTTTCAGTTCCATTTAAGTATAAGAATGCATGAACAGAAATTTTGAATTTAGTGCAGCATTCTGCAGTGGCATGTAGGTAAGCAGTATTAGGGAACTGTTTGTCACTCATAGTGCCCATCAGATGAAGTATATTTACGCATCTGACATGATAAAAAGGTTTATAGAAACTTTTTGTTCCTCTTTGAACTAGAAGTATCTGAATTTTGAGATTAAAAGAAGCCCATAGGTTTTTGAAAATTTTATTTCACTTTTTTGTAGAATTTCTCTGCACATCTACTAATCTTGCAATTTAACCTCTGAAGTGCTTTGCCATAAAATAGTGTCTCCTGGCTACTTCACAGTATTTAAACCTCCAGAGGAGGTATTCTGATAAATGTATGATAACTTCATATTTTGTCTTTCATTGTGTAAATTACAGAACCTTTCTGAACTACTACTGTGAAATGATAAGTGGTGTTTGTAGAGTGCCTCCAAGAAACGTGGTGCTCATGTCAGTAGAAGCTTTTGATATGTAAAAACACAGTTGTTTTTGAAAAAAGGCATATCTGAAACGCCATCACAGGATGTTTCACTTGGTCAAAACTGTGGGAGGAGAGGAAGGACAAAGAACAGGAAGGATACATTTGTGAATTATTTGCAGGTTTTTTACTTTTTGGTGTTTGTGGACATACCTGATAAATTAGTAAGAAATCCCGTTTTTGTTGGACAAAAATGATTTTGTAGAAGTAGTATTTTTTATTTGGGGATCTTGGTTTTGGTCAACACTCCACATTGTTTCATAGTCTGAAAAACTGTAAGCCGCCTGTTACAGACTAAATAGATGTAACATCTAAGTGACCAATTCAAAGTTATTTGTTTGTTTGAAGGTAATATAAAATAAAACCACTTTTGTCCCCTACAGGAATTTTTGTTTAGAGTAGAGAAATGTAGACTTACCTCCTCAATCCTTACATTATTTGCTCAGCAGGTTTTTATTCTGCTACCACTATTTTGTAATTAACTATTTCTGCCCTTGTCAAAAATAATTCCTTTTATTTCCTGTCTTTTCCTGTAAAACTTCTTACCTGTTGTTGCTGAACTGTAGAGATATAAAGAGCAGGAAACATACTACTGATAATCCTGCCACTCTCGGGGTGGAGGGGGAAGAGAATTTACAAGAAATGCTGTTAGTCAAAGTTGAGGCAAGCCCCTTCAGCTCTCAACTTCTGCAGAACGTTGATCTACTGTGACATCTCACAGTACTTTGTCAGCTTTACGGTATCTTCTGTGAACTGCGATAGGCACCACTAATTGTGGAGTAGAAGAAAAGGTATCAGTAAGACTCATTCTTCAGTAATAGAAATTCTACAAGATAATTTTCTGTATAATTTCAATACAAGACTGAAAACTTGTATCAGTAAAATTATTTTTTTTAATTTGCTTCAGAACTGTTGGTCAATTCTTTCTTGAGCTGCGTTTATTTACTTAAGATATAGCAGTAGTGCTTTTTGTTGGGTAACAGTTGCCAAATACTGATTATAGTATTTTTTCTATTAGACGAGCAAGTGCTGCACTCAATTGCTTAAAACGTTTTCATGAGATGAAGAAAAGAGGACCTAAACCTTACAGCCTCCATTTGGATCATATTATTCAAAAAGCAATCTCAACCCACCAAAAGAGGGACCAGTACCGTGTGCAGAAAGACATCTTTATTTTAAAGGTATTACCATTATTGATTTTTTTTCAAAACTGAATTTGACTTGGTATTTTGGAGACTTAGATCCAAACCCCCAAGCTTCATTCTCTCATCTAATGCAGAGCCATTTATGTGATTTCTTTCTAGTATTTTTTTTCATTTAATTTGTCTTGTAGGTACTTGTGGATGCTACAGTGCATTTCTAGAAATTGAGGAGTGAAATTACAATAATTTTTAATGCTTTTTGGGATTGAATGTGATCTCTTACTGTTAGATTCTTAATGCAGTACTATAACCATGCAGTTTATTTTCAAATACAAATTACTGTGGAGCATAACCCTTTTAACGGTTGTTACATAAACAGTAAGTATATCATGTGCCAAAATGGCAAAAAATTATGCAAGGAAATTTACTGTGGTTTTTCATGTCTGTATCGCAGGATACAGAAGAAGCACTTATAATGAATCTTCGAGACAGCCAGGTTCTCAATCATAAAGACAATCTTGACTGGAATTGGAATCTAATAGGGACCATACTAAAGGTGAGCTTAAAAAGGGCATCGTATTATTTTTATGAAATTGTTTGGGAAAAAAATCTCCCATTTCATATGTGAGCATTGAATTTCTAATACTAATTCCATACTATATCCCATAATTTGTTTCATTTCAGAAAATTAGGATCTTATGGGTTTAATCAGTGCTTATATAGGCTCTTTGTGTACTAAGAGTACCTTAAACTATATGCAAAAATACACTACTGTTAAATTCAAAAATTTCTTAATAAGCATGTATTAAATTTTATATAACTTTATTTGTATAGAAATAGATTTTACAGAATTTACTGTAATGACTTAAAAGTTGCTAGTGCTTTAGATGTCAGTCCAAACTACACAGGGTTACTACCTTATTCAATTTTATAGCAGATTTTTTTTTAGTATAACATGAGCTGAAGGTTAAGGCTGGAGGTAGGTTATAGATGGAACTTCAGATGCTTAGATTGAGCCGCATATGAAAACTTCATCAGTATGCAATCTCACTGTATGTTTCAAACCAATATAAATATGCCCATAGCATGAAGTTCATTATAAAATTAATTTCATAGAATTATAGAATAGTTTGGGTTGGAAGGGACCTCTAAAGGCCATCTAGTCCAACCCCCCTGCAATCAGCAGGGGCAGCTTCAACTAGATCAGGTTGCTCAGAGCCCCGTCCAACCTGACGTTGAATGCTTCCAGAGATGAGGCATCTACCACCTCTCTGGGCAACCTGTGCCAGTGTTTCACCATCCTCAGTGTGAAAAATTTCTTCTTTGTATATAGTCTAAATCTGCCTTCTTTTAGTTTAAAACCATGACCCCTTGTCCTATTGCAACAGGCCTTGCTAGAAAGTCTGTCCCCCATGTTTCTGAAAATACTTCTGACAAGGAGGACATTATCTTAAATGTATTTAATGCGCAGCTTTTAAGAGGCTGCCACTTTTTTAAGCAGAAAACTTAACTTTCTTTGAGTATGAAAACTTTCTGAGTACTAAGTATAGTCCTGAAACCAAAATAGTTCCTGTCATTCTGTACATCAAAGCTATCCTTATGTTGTTACCTGCAAGTAACATTTTCTTACTGTCTTCTTTACTGTGTTGTTATAAAGATGGTGAAAGTACAAAAAAGCATTAATGGTGACAATGATAATCAAGATGATATTTTTAAAAAATAAAAGAAACTAAATATTTCTGTGCATTTTTCTCAAGAACTGGTAAACTTGAAAGAGCAAGAATCTGATATAAAGACTTGAATACGTATATGACAGTAGCTTTGCTCCACCAAGTGTCACTGCTTACAGACTATTTACTGCAATTAGTAGATTTACTGCATTACTAGATAGCTATGATTATTAATTGTGGATGGTTTTGGCTTTGATTCAGTATAAAGATATTATCACGAAACTATTTTTCAGAATCCCACTGTTTCTTTAGTCTGTGTAGTACTTTGACAATGGAAGCTTTACATGGTTGACGACTAAGGTGTTCTGGTGGGGTTTTTTTAATCAAAAATTTAGGTCAAACTGTTAGCTTCCCTTCTACCTCAGACCTCCCCAACTATGTTTTCTACTGCCCTGTCAAACAGTTGCCGATGTCTCAAAAGCAGGGACTTCTGTCTTTTAGAATGACAAGTTTCTGTGTTTTCTGGTTTAATCCTAACCACTTCTGTTCCTGTGTTAAACTGCACAACGCTAGTGTAAACTAAGATAACGTTATTGAAGTGGTTCACCTTTAGTCCCCCTCCATCCCTGAGCAGAGTCCAGATTCCACTGTTTGGACTTCACTGTTCCACGTGGCTACTCAAGTCCCGTGTGTTTCTGTCGCAGCCTTTACAGCTGTGGAGCATCAGCTTTCCAGCCACTTCACTACTTGCATCTCACGTGGTCCCTTACTGCCTTTTTTACTTGCTCAGCTTGTTGTCTAAGCTGCCAAAAAGGCAGCAAAAGTGGCAGTGGTCAGGATGGAGGAATTGTTTTTGTCATTGATAGTAGGACTTCATACTTTATGTGGCACTGTGGGTTCAATGTTACTAGCGTAGTCATTTTTACTCATCATTAACTAGTGCACTATATGGCTTAATACTAGTATACCAATTGGAAGTGGAGAACTATATCACTTAGGTAAGAAGGGAAAATGTTTGATGCACTTTTTTCCATCCCTTCCAAGGAGATACTTACTAGTAGCAACAAAAATACGTCTGAAACTATAGAGACAACAGATAGCTGTAAAAACAAAGGAAAATATAATAGGAAGAAAGGGTAGATCCAGAAAAGAACATTATGACTATGTGTTTAAAACATCTTACAAAGTATCAACAGAGGAGTTTAAATACCATCTTAATACGGAATATTCAAGTGACCTGTAACAAAATAATGATTATTTTTAAAACAAATCTGGTTAATAGTGAAAACAACAACACAAAATTATTTCCCTATTATGCATATCAAAATTTGTTTGTTATTTGCAGGGAAGAAACTGAGCAAAATTATTTATTTTTCATTAGCATGTCATAGTTTGCTGTTTTCATTAGAATTGTGGACTTGTACACATAGCATGTGCCTGACATTCCCTTGTCCTCCTGTAGGAAAAAATCGAACAATTTTTGGAGGAGGAATTGTGGGCTTTTCAATAAAGTAAGGGTGTTTTTTTCTAGATAACATAAGATGCAAACAAACCTTACACTTCTAATTATTAGGTAAATTATTAGGTATAGTAGAAATGAGGAAATTTTAGTGACTAATTAAGGACTGATGTACAAGTTTCATATAATGTTATATTTGCTGTTTTTCTAGTGGCCAAATGTAAATCTAAGGAACTATAAAGATGAACAATTGCACAGGTATGTAAAAAAAAAAATTATGTAGACTTCCTTTGAAGAAAGACACTTTAAAAAACTGGTTTTGATACTGCAATAAACCATTCCTTGGATATGTCACATTTCTAAAACTTCATATATGGATAAGCAGCAAAAAATGAAAACTTACATAATTAGGTTGCAGTATTTGCTTTAATGTTTATTTAAATAAATAAGATCTTTAAGCTTTAGTGGTTTCTTTTCTATGCACAGGTACTTTATATATAATTTCCTTAACAAGAATCATACTAGCTTTGCAAACACCAAATATTTGGTGTCTGCAAACATTTATTTAAAATTTCATTTTAAACCTTTAAGTATTATCTCTTTGATATTTCATACATTAGTATTTGATGTCAGCACTTGACAAATTTTGACGGAATAGGTCTACAGTTGTACAGTTACATAGTTGTAGCTTTCATCAAAAACCATGAGGAAGTTATCTCTAGTATCTATTTATGGCAAGGGAAGCATGTGTGATTTGAGGGGAAAAAACAACCAAACAAAAAACAACAACAGAAAGCCACACAAAAAAACCAGTACAGCTCTGGTTCCTTTCATGTCTGTTGGCGTTAAGACATTTTTATTACTTTTGTAGGTATGTAGTAATAGTGTTACTAATTAGTTCCTGGATGTCCCTGTTAATATGCATTTCAGAACTTTGATTTGATTCAATTATTTTGAAGAGTAGTTCTGTGTTTGTAGGCATGGAAAGCAGCTTCTATCTAAAGCTAAAACACATGCTGAAAGGCTCACTCTGCTCCATTTCAAACTTTTGCTAAAAAGTAATCAGGCTACTTTTATATTGTATTCTCAGCATAAATGGTAGTCCCATTGTAATCATAGCTATAATTTAATTGTGCATTTGTAGTTTTCTGGGGTTTTTTCCTTCCCTAAACATTAATTGCTAATCTGTTCCCAGCTGTGACACCTACCCCCACCCCTCTACCTATCTACTTGGGACAGTGCTTGTGCTGCACTCAGGCATTGTTCAGTGCCCAAGTAACTGAATTCCAAAATAATAGAAAATCTTAAGATTCAGTTAGTGTAAAACTTCTACAGTTGGTTGATCTTTTCTGCAGGTTTGTGAGTTAGATGCTCTAATGGCTTTAAAATGCTGTTGCTCTTGTTTAATTATAACTGATTAAGCCCCAAATCTTTCTAGTTTCACTGCTAATCATAAAAAAAAATTCAGATACTTTGTTTTTGAAGTGTAAAATACATTTGTTTGTCCTTTCATAAATTGATTTTTTTTTTTTTTTTTTTTACTGCTGGTGTTCCTGTGATGAACTTATGGCTGTTAAGCTGAAATTCCAGATAATTTTTATACAATCTAATAATTATTAA